TCTGCTGGAACCTGGATCCAGCATCACATGTAAAAGAGAAATCTCAACGATGCAATTGAATGCATGAGGTTAACACTTCAGGGCCTGACAACATTTTTTAATTCCCATGCCTAAATGATTAACTGTTGGACGAGACTTGTCAGGTAAGAGAAAGAGTGGAGGGGAATTGGACTCATTTTGGTTTTATGCTGGATGCATGTGATTGTCACCGCAGTGGAATTGCACACCTTCAAAGTCAGTCTGCTTGTCAGCCACTCTGACCAAATTTTTCACCCAGCAGTGGGCAGCAATGTGCCAGTACCAACCACACCCGCACCTGATCCTCTTCCTGAGACAGCTTCGGCGGTCAAAAGGGGTAAGACTCCTAAAGGTGTGAAAACTCCCACAGGAAAGTCTCGGAACAAACAAAGGCCAGAAAAGCCAGAGAGCCCAAGCACAGGGGCCAGACCATTGAGAGACAAGGGAAAATCTACAGGGATGGCAATCCCAGCAGAAGCGAGTTCAACTGCCGCAGAGCGCCAGATCCCAGGAGCAACCTCGCCTAGCAGTCCTGGCAAGGATGTGAAAGACAGTGACACTTATGGAAAAGCGTCAGCAGTGCCGCTGGCGGAACAACTGCAGAAGGTGGACAGCAAGGATGCATTAACAAACGCTATGAAGCAGAGCGGCGATGATGCTAAGAGAGCGCTTTCCGGAAGTACCAATCGGCCTTCCTTGGATTTTACGCTGCGAGGGGGAGTGCTCTGTCTGGTCACTGGAGAGGGAGCTTTAGGGATTTACAGATTGGTCACAGTCCGAGGACCAGTGGGATTTGCAGGCAGCGCACAAGGTGCGGGATGGTCTTCAGGAGATGACCAAATGTCACTGATTTCTCAAGCAGAGTTCAGAATTGAACCTTTGTTCAGGTTGAGAAAGGAGGAGATAGCTTCTCTGCTGAAAATCGATCCAAGGAAGGCGAGTGAAATTGGACTTCCTGGGTTCCATTTGAGAACTGTGGGTGGCCATGCCGTGCTCACTCAGGGCCCAAATGCAAACAGACCCAAGGGTCAAAGCATGCATGCACTGCCAGGCACAGGGTGTAATTCTAGCCTCTTCTTCTGGTGGCCACAAATGAACAAGCTACTTCTGTTCTCTCCTCCGGAGCTATGGAAGAAAGGTATGACTATCGCTGCAGCTGGTTATTGAATTAAGAACAGTGAGGAAATACGGACGGTAGAGCTCACAGTTTTGACTTGAATCTCTGAGAACAAAATAGGACTCAGCTTTTCAAGAGAGAAAGAGCAAATCAGCAAAGAAAAGGAACCCCAACTCATGTTACAAAAAAAGCTGGAACCCTTTCACCATCTTTGAGGGGCCTTTTTTTTTTGGGGGGGGGGGAGGGGGGGGAAGGGGAGGGAAGGAGTCAGAAAAATGAGTTATAATTGCACTATGGGCCAAGATACAGTTTCGAATTGCAGTTCAGGCAATGTATACAACCCAGCTTTCTGGCCAGGTAGTGTGCCCAAAGTGCAATTGCAAACTGTATCTTGCCCCATCCTGCAATTATAACTCTTTTTTGGGACTCTACTGAAGATACCCCTTTTTTTTTTTTTGGGCCTGTCTAGGTACTTTTACCTGTAGTTGTTTACTCAAACATTTCCAACCATAGTTTGACTAATATAATTTCATAAACTTGGTTAAAATAGTATGACTAAAATAGCAATGTGTCTATGCCAGGCACCACTCCTGCTACTCCTGCATAACTTCAGCATAAGCATACCACCCTTATTGCCTGATACCCTTTTTGTTCTATTTTCTTTTTATAAATGATCCAATCTATCAGTGGGGAGCACCACCTGGTGGGAACTGGGCCCAGCATCCCTGATGTAATGAATAGCCATGCTTGCTGTTGAGCGGAAGCTAAACCTGGCCTTGGTGCCACTTAGAAAACCAACAGCGAGAAAAAAAAGTTTGCCTGAGAGTGCCCATCCGATCCTCCATCGCACAGGCACAACAAGATGACTTGCGGGTAGTTCAGAGCCTTCAGGTTCCATTTCAAACTGCTAACTTAAGTTGGATAGGCCATTGGCAACCAAAAATAGCAGTATTGGGTGTTGGGCTACTGACATCATTGTGTGAGGTCCAGTGAGGATGACAAAGGGGGGGGGGGAAGGATAGAAGACAGCAGAGATTCAGTGTTAGAGATCATAGAGGCTGCATATATAAACCAGTACAAAAATGCTACCTAGTCTGGGGGGGTCTATCAGGGGGGGTCTGCTCTTGCATGGCTTAGACACTGGGGCAGGGTAGGGATATAAGTCGCTCCTGTTAGTCCGAGTTAGGCCTAGCCTTGAGTAAGTTAGGGGAAGGACGGTAGGATGTGTCCGTGGGAGCCAGCTTGCCTTGCCTACGTGTTTGTGCCAGCTTATCGGGTGGACTCTCTGACTACTGGGGCCTGTGGAAGATTGCATGAGCCTGGCGTCCGAAGTTCCCGTATGGCAAGGTTCGTCCGCTTCCGCTTCCACTAGGGCTGGGTACTGCCCCTGGTGCTTGTCACTGCTATTTGGTCCAGTTTGCCCTCTATACTGGTAGGGTGATGGTCCTGGGTGCCGGCCTCACTGAGGTAGGATAGTAGGGATAGGGGGTGTGCTAGGAGTATTGACGTGCGGATGGGTTGGGAGGTGGCCCCACCCTGTCAGGACAACCATTGGCTGCCCACTGCCAGCAAATCATCGTGTGTCGGGTCAGTGGCCTCTACAACACCCTCAGGCTGGGCTCCACTAGTACCTCCGCCAGTGTTGGGAAAATAGGGAAAACTGGCAGTTTTCCCAGTTTTCCCAAACTCCTAAAGATTCAGAGTTCGGGCCCGACGAGGACTGCCATTGATAAATCTGATCGGCGGTCGTCACTTCATTTCAGCCTCCGAAAAAGTCAGAGGACCGACCGAGGCCGGCTATTTTCCCACGCGGCGAAGGTACTAGGGGAAAAAAAGGGGAAAAGATAGAAAAAAAAAAGATATCATAGAGGCTAAAAAAAAAAAAAAAAAAAAAAAAAAAAAGAATCTGTTCAGATGATAAAACAACCAGCAGCTGGCAAGATCGTGCTCATGACAGTTTGTTCTTCTTTAGGGCTGGGCAGCACATCCCCGGGGCCCGGGCAAAATCGGCATGCTGTTTCGGGAGCGCTAACTGGACCGGACGGCAACGCCCGTCCGCACTCCAGTTGACTACCTGGGAAGTGACGAGGTAGGTGATGGATAGGTCGCCATAGCCGAAAATGTGCGTGCACATAAAGGCAGGTGACGTGGCACCCCTTAGCGGGTCTCGCTATGAGAAGAACTGCGACTTCCGCGTGGGAATAACGATCCAAGGAGAGCATGTCAGAGTTGTGGGGCCAACATGGACAAGTGCCTACTGAGGCGACGGGTGACGGCTATCGGTAGTAGGAGTCGGTGCCGAGGGGATCAGCGATGCGCCTTACAAGTAGGGGTCAAGAGCCTCTAGAAAAGTGAATGTCATCAGGGACCAGCTAGAAGGAAACTCACCTTTTGAAGTTGAAAAGGCGAACAAATAGCGGGAGAACTGGATGCCAGAGGAGGGTATTTTCTCAAGTAAGGAAGTGATGGGGAGAACACAAGAGTGTGCAAATGATTGGATTATTCTCCTTGGGGAAAAATGAAGAGTAGGAAGGGATAGAGAGGGACGTGGAAGAGACTGCACCAGGGGCCAAGTCCCACTAGCAATGATGAGTTTCGGCGCGGCGCTGCGAACGGAGCGGCAGGTCCGCCCATGACCACAGGGACGAGAGGCCGCTCTCGATGCTGTATCGGCACCCGTTTCTGCCCCTGCTCACGGAGCAGCGGCCATAGCTGGCCATGGACAGAAGGGTGCAACACTGCAAGTAGCCGAGGATCCGCAGCGGGGATGGTGACCAGTGACTAGAGAAGGCAAGCGACGCAGCGACAGGGAGGAAGAAGAAGGGACAACCGACCAATCTATCAACCAACCAATCAACGAAATCGGGCCTCTTTCGTGTCGGGCCGGGAGCGATGTATCAATCCATCAATCAAACATTGGCTCGATCAAGCAATCAATCGATCACGTGGGCTTGCGTAGGGATCTCTCACTTTCTCTCCCTTTCTCTCTCTCTCCCCTTCGCTTTCTCTCTCTCCCTCTCTCCCTCTCTCCCTCTCTATTTCTCTCCCTCTCTTTCTCTCTCTCTTTCGCTCTCTCCCCGACTCGCACTCTGAACGGGAAGATTGATGACAGGAGGTGCGCCACGTGGGCGAGCCTAGGCGGGGGTTTGCGTGTGTGTGTCGCACGCCGCGAAGTGCAGCGAAAATAGCACATGGTGGACGTGGAGGTCAGGGAGAGAGAGAAAGAGCGACCGATGGAGGACAGAGAGAGGGAGAGGAATAGAGAGACAGAGGAAGACAAGAGAAGAGGAAAATATAGATACACGATAGAGAGACAGAGAGAGTGACGGAGTGACGGAGAGAGACGGGGAGCGATAGAGAAAGAGAGA